GTCAGAATGTTGATGAATTGAAGAGCGCCGATTGTAGTGTTAGGGTTAAAGGGCGCCGGCCAGCAGATTAGGGTTGAAGGGGGCAGCAGCAGCAGATTAGGGTTGAAGGGGGCAGCAGCAGCAGATTAGGGTTGAAGGGGGCGGCAGCAACAGATTAGGGTTGAAGGGGGCGGCAGCAACAAATTAGGGTTGAAGGGGGCGGCAGCAACAGATTAGGGTTGAAGGGCGCCGATTTTAGGGTTAGGGAGAAGGATCGATTTTAGGGTTAGGGTTAAGTTTAGGGTTAGGCTCTGATACCATATAAAACTTGATATTGATTGTATTGATTGAAAAATAATAATAATCTGATACACCTTATATAGGTAAAACTAATTACACTTTGGACCCTAGACAATATTAATAATATAAACTAGACTAGTTGACTTAGTCTAACACAGGATGACAATGCCAAAACAATGGTGAACTAAATAATGGTTCATAGAGGATACCATCTACCAACAGGCTATGCCTTGAATATTCCCCTGTGCGATTCTCAAAAGGATCTAGGTGTGAATCTCAGAGTTTCTAGTTATGTTTCGGTCTTTTCTCCAAATACTTGCTCTAAACTTGTCTTTATCTTCAATTTGTCCTGTTGAGCAGGCATCATGGTCCAAGTTGGTTGAACGTTAACTTGACAAGTGATGAGGAAAATATGGGATCCTTCATTTAATCTATTTTCAATCTTCCACCGTTTTCATTTGTTTGTCCCATTTAGAGATGAGAAATGTAAGAACATTTTTTATATGAATGACTTCTAAGATTTCTCTTCTACGTAAGGTTTGGTTACAGTTAATATACTGCAGGCTTTGAATGCATGTCTTCTTAAATGGTTGATGGGTCTAAACTAAACGTTTCCAAGACTTTTTCTGGATCTGCAGCTGGGAGCTTCGATTGTTAGACATAGATTGATAGACTTCTTCTTGTAAACAATCACCATACAATCTTCTTTTCAGGATCCACTCAACAAAGTCATATGCAGATTCTTAACATGTGCCTGATCTTTGGGTACGAGCTGGCAATGGGAAAAAAGGACTAACTTGTTGGGTATGACATCTTTGAGGGCCTAATACCTGAGAATCATTATCAACTATTATAAGTTAGGAGTTGATCTACGGATTAAAATTATTAGAAGACACACAATGCTATTAAAAAAGAAAAAGCTACTCAGGCATGCTACAGGAAACATATGAGAAAGGATCAATTAGGTATCATTGCAAAGATAGTCAAAGGTGGTGATGAATTCTGTTACATTGACGATTATCTGCTTTAATTGATTTTACAGCACTGAATTGTTAGTTGCTCATATGCCAGTATTACTTTTGAATCTATATGTCATCAGATTGTCACTCAGTTTTTTTGAAAGAAGTTGATCTGTATCAGGGGAAGCCAAGCTTCTGGCAATGATCCATCAAAAGTCGGTGTCTTAGAGATTACTTCTGGGACTGCCAAGTTTAGAACAAAACCACTGATCACATCAACTGAAATTTCAACAAATTCAGAACCAGTAAAGCCCTTTCTTGATGAGTTGTCTTCGAAGAATGTTGATACAAGTCCGCTACTAGCAAAGATAGAACAGAAAGAAAATGAACTAATATTGCGTGGCCAAGAAATTGAGGGTCTGAACAGGCAGTTGATGGAAGTTACTACGGAGTTACGTTGTACTCGAGTCAAGAATGAGGAAATGATCCTAAACGTGAGCAAGCTTCAAAAGGATTTAGAAAAATACAGACAGGATTTATCATCTGCAAGAAACAAGGAAGCAGAGATGAGTAGGAAGTGTTGGCATATGAAGAACGAGTTTGAAGAAACTAAAGATGAGTTATATGAGAAGATAACAGAGCTTGAAGAATGTAAAGATCGGATGTATGAGAAGATAACAGAGCTTGAAGAGACAAATGATGCTGAAATGATGAAGCTGAAGCTAGAGACAGAGCAATGGAGGAAAGCAGCAAAAGCTATAGCTTCAGTTTTGGGCGGAGGTGCAGAGGTATGTTCGAAGACACCAGAACTGGAATCCCTTGTTCTATATTATAGCAACCGTGCTGCTAAAAGGATGTCACTTGGAAAGATGAGGAAAGCTGTCAATGACTGCAGAATGGCAACTCTATTAGATCCAAGCTTTCTTAGGGTCTGCCTAACAGCTGGGAAGTAAGATTTCAGGCATTTTGTTTTTCTTTTAAATCGTACATAAATACATGTATATATGTGTGTGTCTGTGTATATAATATTACCGAATTAAAAGAGTCGTCTGATATGATATTGTAGAGAGGCTTGATGCTATCTTGTATAATTGTTACTTATCAGAGAAATTTGTCTTATTATTTATGGTTCGTGTTACTCAGCTGTCATCTGGCTCTTGGAGAAATGGATGGTGCACTGTACAATTACAAAAAGTGCTTGGAGTCTGGAGTAATTTGCTTGGATAGAAGGCTTGCCATTGAGGCATCTGATGGCCTACAAAATGCTGAGGTACCATATGCTATTTATGAAACATTTTTTTAACTATTGCAGCTGAAAGTTGTTTATATCTAGCCACTAGCCTATCTAGCGGGTTTATGTAATAAAAACTCATGTACTTAAGATTATAAATAGATGCTGTGTGTGTGTGTCTGTATGTATATGTATGTATATATAGGGGTTTTAATGGACGTATGCTACCATCATATGCATACATTCATACATATACATACATACATACATACATACATATATATTTATATATAGTCAGGATCATGCAGAAAAAGGTGAAGGTACATTCATATTGTGTGAAGTAACATTCATATTGTGTGAAGGTTGTAACCTTCACATGACCTTCAACTGTGTATTTGAAGGTTAAATTATAGTGTGTGAAGGTTGTAACCTTCTCACAATATAAGGGTAACTTGACAGGTCTCACGACAAACATTCACATGATATAAAGGTACTTTCACCTTTTCTCACTTCACGTAAATGGGTTGTTCTCATCAGAACATTATGTATATTATACGTATGTATCAATGTATGTATTGGTTGATTCACTTTTTACAGCTTCTGACTGGCTTTTTCCGACTGGGCAGAAAGTGGTTAATTATGTCAACCAGTCTGCTGAACTTTTGGAACAGAAAACTTTGGAGTCAGCTACTAAAGCCTTGGAAGTTATTACGGAGGCCTTGTCAATAAGCTGCTACTCTGAGAAACTACTTGAAATGAAAGGGGAGGCTCTCTTTATGGTATTTGCTGCTGCAACTTGCTAGGATGTCATTAAGTGAATCAGCACATGTTAATTTGAAATATATTCTGACGATTGGCTTTATCTTGTGGAATGTAACAGCTGCGGAAGTATGAAGAGGTGGTTCAAATGTGTGAACAAACACTTGCTTTTGCTGAAAAGAATTATGCCACCATAAGTGATAGTAATCACACGTCAAATGAGGAGGAGCAAAAGCGGCTGTTGAAGCTTTGGAGATGGAATTTGATGTCTAGGTCTTACTTTCATATGGCTAGGTTTGATAAGGCCCTTGCCATCCTTGAGAAACATGAGAAATTAGCACCAGCTGAAACCAAGTAATATACATACATACATACATACACATATTTTGTATGCCTATTATAACCAAAAAGTTGCAGTTTTTAATGCTCTTTCAAAAGCATGAAATATGTCATTGAACTTTGTTTTTCCTGTCCTCCAATGTAGGACCGAAGCACCATCCGCTCTTTCAGCTGCCACTGTCTCTGAACTTCTTCGCTTAAAGGTTGAGCTAATGTCTCCCATTTAATCATTTGATGGTAGCCTTTGACCTGATTATGGTTGGAGATATTTCTCTTTGTAGATGATTTATGTTTTTCACTTGACAGACATAAATACAACGCAAACAGAGTAGGTTTTCTCCTGGGCAATGTTTGCATTTGTTTTTATTTACCACTTTGTCAACTCCAGAGTGCAGGAAATGAAGCTTATCAAGCTGGGAGACATAGAGAAGCAGTGAGGCATTATAGTAATGCGCTATTGCGGAGTGTTGAATGTAGGCCTTTCGCTGCTATCTGCTTAGGCAATCGTGCTGCTGCTCACCAAGCTTTGGGTGAAGTTGTTGATGCCATTGCAGATTGCAATCTTGCCATAGCTCTTGATGATAATTACCTCAAGGTCTCTTATGGTTTGTTGCTTTTTGGCACACAACTTAAACTGTTTCTCTGAAAATGAAATCTATATGCACTTTCCACCGAAAAATAGATGCAACAATTTTCATTGGCCTGGATGTCCTGAAATAACTGCAATATTTTCTTTCTTCGTAAATATTACAAAAGTGGTGTATGTTAGATGGCTGGGCAGCTGTTTGAAAAATTTGCAATATTTTATTGTTCTTCATATTCATTATAGAATATATGCATGAATATGGTTTTTTTTTTTTTTGTTGATATGATTGTTAGTGATTAAATTTTTTATGTCATGTTTCCAGGCAATTTCTAGGAGGGCTAATCTACATGAGAAGATAAGAGACTATGAGCATGCAGCCCTTGATCTTCAAAGACTAATTTCTCTTCTTGAAAAGCAGTGTGAAGCCAAGTATGTGGAAGAATTGAGAATAGCTCGTCAGCGCCTTTCATCCATCAATAGATACATGAAGAAAGAAATGACGTTGGATCTTTACCTCATCTTGTAAGTTTGCATTAGATTTATTTATTAGTGTGTAAGTCATTTGAGAACAATAAATATTTTGAGAACCAGCTATTCATGATGAATATAATGAATATTATGTTGAATATCATGAATGAACATTCATGAACGCAAATGTATGATATTCATAAATGAATAATATTCATGTATATTTATCATGAATAGTCGGGATTCATGGTTATACATGTTTTTGTTGTACCTCAACCATGGAATACTTACTTTACTATCCTGTGATAGGGGACTAAAAGGGTCAGAATCTGGTGCAGAAATTAAAAAAGCATATCATAAAGCTGCACTCAGACATCATCCAGACAAGGTTTTGTTTTGTTTTGTTTATATTTTCATCACATTTGGCTGTCGTATGATACTTGTAGCTGATTAGCTTTAAATGCAGGCGGGTAAGTTTTTAGTAAGAAGCGAGAGTGGAGCAGATAGCCATGTTTGGAACGAGATTTTCACAACCATCCATGAAGATGCCGACAAGCTTTTTAAGATAATTGGGGAGGCTTATGCTGTACTATCCGATGCCAACAAGGTTCGTATAGAACTTAAGTTCTACTATAGTCTTTTTTAAGCTCTTATATCAATTTTAATAAAGATAAACAAAAGTTTAGCTTCTCGTACTTCCTCATATTCATGGTCAACAATTCAGGGATATGGTCAACTTAGTCAATTGACTGAAATAGCCAATCCCATCAACCAAATTCACTTTTTAGCCACTTTTTGAAGGCTCCTCAAAATAGCCAGTCTTTCACACATGCTTTACTCATTTGCGGTAAAGACCGACTTCTGGATTCTTTAGGCGAAAATTTGAATCCTTGCACAAAAATCTGAATCTTTACCYAAGTTCTTTTTAATCTGAAAATCGAGTTTTTGCGAATGTGCAAGACATTTGCGTAAACTCCGGCTAAAATGGGAATTCAAATTGAAAAAGTGGCTAAAAAGTGAAGTTGGTTGGGAAGATAGGGCTATTTTGGTCAATTTCCCCTAATTTTATCTCTACATTTTGTTTAGGTTTCTGTATGTTGCTAATATGCTCTCATTTTCTCCTACTTTATCACATTTCCCATTAGAGTTATGGGTGTCTAATGTTGGCCTTTTCTACAGAGATTTAAGTATAATCTTGAAGACGCGATGAAGGATGATTTTGGGTGGTAAGTCGAAACTAGCGTCATATATTGCCATTTTGGAGCTTTACCTGGGTGGGCAGTTGGCCTCAATCTTTGGCTGAGGGAAGAAGGAACACCCTCAGGGCTTCAACTGAAATTCCCAGGCCAAGCTTATTGTGAGTAAAAGTGAATTCTATTTTCTTGCTTATTTTTCATTTCTGCCCCAACTTTTTACGGGCAGATAGTTTAGTGCRGTTTCTTGCAAATAACACAACTTCTAAAATATGATGGTATGTGATTACAAACCTCATCAAATGACCACAACTGTATATACTTCTTGACCTTTGAGATCTTTTCTTTTAGTCATAAGGACATGATTCTAAGGTAAAGTCATTGTGTTTATTATTGGCTCCCTGATGTCAAAACTTAGTAATACAAGATTAGAAGGTTTCTTAGAAATTTGCTCCTTGGTTGGAAGGTCGAAATTTTGTTTGTGTGCGTGAATTAGTAATAAGATATGATCTGTTAGAGGGTGACAACAGTAGGAGGGGTGGGTATCGCGACCCCTTCAGTAACTACGAACGCCCCAAGATTAGCGCATTAGGATGTGCCTATTTATCTCAAAAGGCGCCAATGCCCATGTCAGGATTACACCCATTTCCATCGAGTGGCAAAGTGGATTTGTTGTGCGAAGAGTGCGTTATGACCAATGGGAGCGGCTCCTTTATTGCATGTTGATTTTTGCGGTCGTTTGTAGCATAATTATGAATGGGATTTTGGTTAGTTGAGTCTTGTGTCAGATAGAGGTTAGGGTCCGTTTGGTATGCAAGTCTGTTTTTGAGGGATTTCGGTTTCATGTGAGGATTTGGATTCGAACTGATTTGAAATCATTAGTGTGTTTGGTTTGTAGGATTTGGAATAGAAATGGATTTCATTATTTATAAATAATTTATAGAAAAGTTATAAATAATCATAAAAATAATTAAAGTACATTTTTATTAATCGGTTTACAAAACAAATGGTTTTTAACATTTTTTAAAACCTTATTTCATAATAGATTGTAGCATATCAAAATAATTTACCCAATAAGCGTTTACCCATGTAAGAGTTAGTCATTCTCACTTACTGAGTAAGATTCTTCATCTTTATCATTGCTCTTACCGGGTAAGGTTTTTGACCATTATCATGTTCATCCGGTAAGGAAATTACATAAGAAGCATTTACCGGGTAAACGTTTAGTAAACGACTCCTAAATCGATAGTTTGACATTTGTGACAAATTGTTCACAAACAGGCTTCTTTATTGGGCTTGTGAAGTCACTCTTTAGACCATAATAGTACTAGAGCAATCTCCAATCATGAAAGAGATTCATGATTTTGTTATATCATATTTCTCTTTCTTTTATATCATATTTCTTTTCTTATATATTTAATAAACTTTTTATCTTCAATTATGAACCGATTCGTAACTTAAACTGATATTATTTTCTATTATCTAATTGAATTGGGTCCCACCGTTTTGATGAAAAGCGGTTCATGTTTTAAAACCTCTATCTTTCCACGTTGGCATGTATCAGTTCCTCCTAATAATGATGTAAAAATCTATGAACTGGTCCAATTGGCTTATGAACCTCTCATTAAAGATGCTCTTAATCGTTGTAATCACCTTAACATAAAAAAAAACTCCGATTAAACACGAATGGATGGAACCCGTTGGGCGTTTTCAAGAATATTCATTGGTTACCATGCAAAATGCATTGGTTATCATGCAGTTTTCGTGAGAAGCAAGTTAAATTCATCTGGTTTGTGCTTTTAAGCCATATATTATTAAAGACATAACATATAACACAAGTCATAACAGAAATATTGAGTCGTAGGGGAATCTAGGAAGTTTTTCAAGTGATTACACCATTTGATTATAAAAAAAACATAACTATGATATTTTCCAGATAATAATCATTGATCTGTTCGTTAGTTCCTTAATTTTCATATGTGAGGCACGTGTTCAAGTCTACTTATTGCAATTTTTTAGAAACATGATAGACCTGTAATTAACAGCTAAAAACTAAGAAAATGATTTAAACGGGATTCGAGCTTGCATCTGGGATGGGAGAAAAGCCATCTAAACCAACTTTACCAAAACAAACGTGTGTTATCATAGTCATTTCAAACTATATACAGTAGCACCCAACATTAAAATACAGTTGCACCTTTCATGAGCATAATTTTTTTAAACTAACGATGGAGGAACATAGCGACAACCTATATCTCAGTGGTGGTTCCACAAACTTAGGTGACTCGGGGCCTAGGGTATAAAAAAATCCAAAACCAAAACAGATTCGGGTTATTCAATTTGCAAGTTAAACTGTTTGGTTAACCAAATAAGGTAAATTTTGATTTCAATTATTTTTTTACCATATCGGTGAACCGAATAGCAAAATATGCTATTATTTAATTTATATAATTTCCATCTACATACATTGGTTTAAACATACAAAAAAACTAAAAGAACAAGAAATCGTGATATATTTAACGAAGTCAACAACCAACATTATCATTGTAACTTGATTGCAAGAACTAGCGGTAACAATATACAGTAAGAACGACTGTCAAACAAGAAACGGACTAGGCCACTAAAGAAACCGTCAAAATGATTGGAGACTAACGACATTTAAGTAAAAAAATTACATAGAGTATTTAAATTTTTTGACATTTGAGTGTGTCGTTACCCACCTTTATCAATGTAAGTCCTACCCTGTCGTATCTAATAAATTGGATCCGCCCCTGAATTGAGTGCTAAGATCCTCTCTCTTCCAAATTGTTCTTCCACTAATGGGCTGTTTGGTAATTATTGAATGGGTTGGTGTAGAATGATTAAGAGGCGCTCATGATATAGTGCAAAATAAAATATAAGTGTTTGATAATTATTTACAACAAAATTAGAGCTGTGAATGGTTAAGGGAGATTCAGGATATAAAATCATTCAGATGGTTTTAGAACCATTAAGAGTCAAAAAAWWWTTTTGTCAAACAAGATTCACCTCTTAACGATTCATATGTTGCCTYTTAATGGAACTATTAAGAGATAAACAAACAACCCATAAATATCTTATGATAGTTAATTTACTTAAAATAGAACAAAAATGATATAATTGATATAAAATAAGATTTTTTTTATGTAAATACGATAATTGATGAATCTTCTAATCTAAATATGTAATGATATTTTATCTGCTCTGTAGAAAGTTTTATGTAATCGGTAATCTTGGAGATTTCTTCCGGAAGTCCCCAAACTCCTACCAAAAAGGAGTATCTGACAATATCTACTGGTCATAACAAATGTGCATAAAAAACATTAGTTGTTTACCAAATATAGTAAAAGGAAAGATGACATTCCGAACCCGACGATATTGTTTCCATAAATGTAGGTTCGTAATTAACAATCACAACCGATTACGTAATATGGCAAACCCTGATCGATTATCTCTCATCTTCGTTTCTCTGCTCGGTTCATTGCTTTCGTTTATCGTGATATGCAATGCTCAAGGAACTAGTAAGATTTCTATTTTCTCTTGGTGTTAGAAAACATATTTGTTAACTACCATTTTGACAATATCTAACGTTAATAACAAATGTGCGTAGTTAGCGCTAATGGTATTATTTGCTAAGGTCCTCGCAATTTTAGCCGGAACCCATGTTGAATGAGTTGGAGGTCTAGGATTCAACATTCGACTTTCGGCACCACTCGTGTGTTCTTCTGAACACGTGATTTACTTCTTTCAAGATGATCGTGAGATCAGGACGTTGTGTCATTTTGCATAATATTATTTCCTAAGCCATTAGAAATTTGGGAAATTTGACGGTGTATGTTTGTTTAGAGAGAAGACAACTAGAAAGAAATGACGAAAATACATGAACCCCTGATGACGTTGTGCTTCTCCTCTTCTTCTAGAGCTTTCATCGAGAGTCTCCCTTGCTTGGACCGTTCAACCGTGGCGTTGCCACTGCCTCCGATATTTCTAAACCCCTAAGAAGTTACACCTAAAAGGGTAAAACTTTGTACTAATGCGTTCTTTGTGCTTCATCACAAAGTGTAATATTCGAATTCAAAACCTATAATATCCGAAACAATGTGTTTTAGATTTTACCATCTTAACTACAACAGAACTCAACACAAGCTATGCATTCTTGCGTAGGTAAATCTGTTGCGTTCGGTACGCAGACAAGACATGATTGGATGGGACGGCTGGAAGGGCGAGAGTGAGGTAGGCGGATGTAAGAATTTTGGAAGATTTTAGGATTTAATTTGTCATGGGTAYTTTAGTAATTTACCAATYTTSTCTTRTCTCCTGGAATTTTGTTGGGCTAGGCTAATTGCACTCATCTACATTGYTAAATGCACCYGTACCTAATGGTTTCCTCCTTACACTCATCAACATCAAAATTCACTTTTTACATTATCAATGCACGAATCGGCCTGATTTTGACATTAAAGGGGTGCAAATAACAATTCTCATTATGTAATTGATTTAAACATTTGATGAATTTGATGGGTTTTCAATTCCAAATGCATTAGTCAATAACAATGTCCAAAAAATTGCATGTTTATCCCATTCAGTCTCCGTCTTCTCCCAATTATTATCGCACCAAACGTGAGACAACAAGTGTTTTCGTTCAACACACACAAACTTAAACGAGATAATGATTTAGATACAAACACACTAAATATAAATATGTAATTCAAATGATCACGAAATCGAATGTTCAGAACTTGATCAGTGTCGTTTCATTCGTTTTGGAGGCCGTGTTGGCTGTTGCACCTATAATAACCTTATAGATCGACCCAACTATTAATAAATAAATAAATTAAATTATAAAAATGTATACAAATATTATGTTACATACAAATTTAAACAACAAAAATGTTGTGAAATGAAAAAAAGTAACATATGAAATCTCATTCGGGATGTGAACAACCATATGATTGGTTTTGTTGCTATCGGGAAAAAATGAAGAGCCAAGGAGAGAATAGTGGTCGATGAAGACRGTTGAAAAGATAACTAAGGAATTCCTTGTTTTGTCAGCTAACAATTTAACTGCCTTTTGTCAATCTCATTGGGATACAATCTAGAAGACTACTGGTAATAAAAGTACATCACTGAATCTGGGTCCCCAAATTAGTGGGGCCCTGTCTAGTGTCTCATAATGGAACGCCCCAAAGAACAGTGATCTCGTACTTGTGATAAAAGTCTGTAGTCAATGTCTCAAGAACAAAGTTGCTAAAATAAGTATAATTTGCGGAAATCATAAAAATATAAAACATAGAAAATATGTGAAATTACGTTATTTGAGTATTTTGCTTTCTTGATGTACATTTTTTATTGAAAAGTTTGTCGTACATCTCAAATCCCCGATTATTTATTTAACAGCTGAGCACGAAGCCTTCAGCTATATAGAAGATAGTTCAAATGGACCGGGGAAATGGGGAACTCTTAGGCCCGAGTGGAAAGCTTGCTCAAGCGGAGTAGCGCAATCGCCTATTGACATCAATGTCAAACAAGCACAAGTTCGACCAGATGACTTGAAAGCGACTTACAAGCACGCACCTGCTAAACTTGTCAATAGAGACCATGCTGTCGCTGTAAGCTCACTACTACTTTAAGTACTCTCGAGACATCCATTACAACAAAATTGTGTTTGTAAGACATAAAAATGTCTAAGTGTCTTAATAGACTGTTTCTATGACACGTGTTTTTACATGTCATTTTTTCAAATAATATCAAATAAAAGAACTAATAAGATGYGTTATTTCAAAARTGTYTTATAAACTTATTGCAACGCTTTTAYGTATAACGCACAACTGTTTGGTCCCATTAACTTAGGTCGTATAAAGCAGTCTATTGGACACTTAAACAGTTTTAGCATCCTATAAACCTAATCTTGTCGTATTTATCTTTACACACCCTTTAMGTTTTTGTATTTTGTTAGGTGGAATGGGAAGGAGATGCCGGAGGAATAGAAATAAATGGTGTATCGTACAAGCTGATTCAATGTCATTGGCATACTCCTTCTGAGCATACTCTTGATGGGGTYAGGTTTGTGTTTTCTAACAAGTATCATCACATTCTCTTCGTTTTCTCGGGGATAGTGGTAAAAACGTGCATATATCATATCCTCTATGGATCMTATTGTTTATTGCGGCTTAATGAGMTGTATAGGTTGTAGGGCTTACGASAGACCTATTCGGTTGTGGCTTAATGCTTCAACTGAGTGCTTATTTGGTCAGTTAGAAATCTAGAACGAAATAGTGTGGGATTTATTGAATTTTGTTTGGTATGGCTTGTTATTCAAAAGTCGTAAAAATTGGTTTATGATACATGTGTTTTTRTAGGTTTGATGCCGAGCTACATTTGGTTCATAATAGTGGTGCAAACCGAAAGGCTGTTATTGCTTGCTTTCACAGCATTGGAGGAAACGACCCCTTTATTGGAAATGTACGTTCCATTGTTTCA